ATTTATGACACATCAGAAACAAACATAAAATTCCTCAAAACACAATCCAGATGCAGTTTGGGTGAATGGGAACGTCATTTTGTGGATTGATTGAGTTGGTTTGTGGCAAATGCTTTGTCTGTTGTCAGTAACAGGAATAGTGTTTGCAGCAGTCGCATCGTGTTAATGATCACTGGTTGATAACGCTGCTGACTATCCGTTAGGAATATTGTTCTAAATTTGCATCGCTAGCAGACTGACAGATGGACGAGTGAAACCGGATCAGGCGACGGATGTTTCAGGAGTGGTCACCGGGGATTCGTAGATATCTCCATGCATCCAGAGAACCACCAGGATGTTTGCTCACTTACATCCCCGGGGTCCTTTACAGCCCTCGGCCATCAGATACAGACCAGCTGATGTCTATTATCTCCTCTCTGGACCTCCATCCCCCTTCGCTGCGCACCGTCTTCACCTCCTTTCCATCTCTGATTACTGTGTAGGAAACAGTTTGCTGCAGTGCTGTTGTGTGCACTACGTCTCTCCTCTGCCTTGCTTTCCCTCTAATCCCTCTCTTGAATGATTTATTTGAAGGGCGAAACTGTGCAAACAACCGCGGCCCGGCGCTCTCCTCTCCACCCCCTGACCTCTGCTGAGGTTTCCTTTCTCTGCCTCTCCTCTCCTTTGTTCCTGCACCTCCGATGTCAGCGCTTCTTCGCTCGCCGTCGTCGTGTCGCCGAGCTTTATGAATAAATCGCGGCTCGTTTGACTCCGTGAACCCCTCAGCTCACCGAGCCGCCGCCGCTCGGAGCCCTCGAGACCAGAGATGTGCGTTGACGGGCTTTGATTTCTACAAAATGTGTGATGCACCCGTACAGCTGTGGGATTAAGCGAGAGGCATCGCCTTCCTAAAAAAACTGCTGCACATCCACCTTGAGGAGAAAAGATGTTACGGGATACCAAACAGAGCTGACATGTCATAAAAAATCAAGCTATACATGCATTAATGTCAGCTTTATTGGCTGTGTGCATTAAATATGATGCTGCTATGCTAACTAGCTTAGCACATACACCTATAGCGGGTGGTGGAAGAAGTACTCAAGCTAAACACCTACAGGAAAAGTACTGTTTGTGTCACATACTGCTGGATGGCTTAAACTGCAATCATTTAACATAGTTTATTGATGAAATTACATTTTACTTTGCCCCTGTGCAGTTTTAATTAAATGATTCAAAAGTCTTTCACCTTACAGTAATCAGATTACTTCTAAATTGAAATCAAGGGTGTGTGATCTCAGGTGAAACTAACAGTTTAGTTTGACTCTATTCAAAATAGAGGCGCCACAGCAGAAGCAAAACAAAAGTCACTTCTGAGATTCTGATTAGGGATGTCCGGTGATATTGGCCCACCAAAATTATCGGCCCGATATTGGCATAAAAATGTATTATCGGTCAATATCGGGTTTTTTTGCCTACAATGAAAACCGATAAAACAACGCCTGGATTTCGCAGGCATTTACACGACAGGAGATATATGATGTTGCCTAAAAATACTTAAATAGCCCACATATATCAGTATCGGTTGATATCAGAAATCGAGAGTTGGACAATATCAGCATATCAGATATCGGCATAAAAGCCAATATCTGACATCCCTAATTCTGATCTGTGATTTTTTTTACGTCCACTCTTATTTTTGACTCAGTCCTACTCGGTGACAACTTTCTGGAGAGTTGTTCTATTTTATTCAGCTGTTCTTTGCTGGAGGGGTCGTGTTGCTCCACCTGTCTCCTAAAACAGCCCAGAGGTGTTCACCTGGATTAAAGTCACGCTTGGCCGGGTTTCACTTTACTTCTTCTCTAGAGCGATTTTGGCAGCGAGCTTTAGATCATGCTGGAATATTCCTCCGCAGACGGGCAGTCATCTGGTCAGCCAGTGTTTTAGCAGAACCGCAGATGTTCATCGATGTAAGCCTCATATCATCACTGTCCCACCTCCGTGCTTCACCGTCAGGACGATGCATTCACCGTGGTAGCTTCACACCAAACATGCTCGACTCCACCTGAGCTGAACACATTAATCTTGGTGTCATCTGACCAAACAATGTGCTCTCTACATGTTCTTTAGCAAACTTTAAGGTTTTAAGCAGCTGTTCTTTTCTTGTCGTCCGTCCATACAGATTCTTAAACGTCCTCCACACCGTCGAAGCTTCACAGAAACTCTGATTTCCACTAACAACCTCCTGTGTCGAGTCTGAAGCAGCTGCCGTCTGTTTTTCACAGCTAGACTCTAAAACCAGTTCACTGTCTTTGACGTCATTTTAGGAGGACGACCGGCGCAGCCCTGATTAGAGCTACTGTGGCTCCTTCTGATTACTGCTGACACTGATTTTTAGTTGCTCACTGATGTTCCTGGATCCTTTTCCATCGTTTGTAACGTCTTGCAGTCATATTTCTCAGTTCCAGCTCTTTTCCATGTTCCTATGATGCAGACATGTGGACCGATGCAGCCTATAGGTCCAAAAACTGGGATCGTTCTGCTGTTCACGGCTCATTTTAGAACCATTTTCATGCAGTTGAGCTGATTGCAAATCACATTTTACTGTTTGGTTTCAATAATCAGAGGGTTTTGAACTCGTGTCTCAGTCACTCTTGTTGTTTTTTGCTATTCACAGCAGTAAACGTGACTGTTTGCTTTGGAAATAAAGGCGTTACTGAGAGATGACACGACTTCAACGGTAGTTCTTGTTTGTAAAATGTCATTTTCAACAAGATTCGTGAAGATTCTTTATTTTTAGTTGAAGAAATTAACAGAAAGATGCTCTTCATGCTAATTCCTATGTTTTTCTATTGACGTGTTCTTAGCTTGTTAGCCACTGGTGAGCTTGAATTTTTTGCTAAGCTAACGGTGAAATATCTCCAGACAGTTGGCTGCTTGTGTGTCTGGATTTTTATTTCTTCAATTTCTAGTTTTTTTAATTGTCAGGAATTAGATGACAACACTCTGATGTCACAAGCTCATGCTGGGAACAGCTAGCTTAGCTTAGCACGGAAGCTAAGCCTCGAAAGCTGACTTATTATTTGCAACACGGAGTTTCTTGTTTGTTTAACACAAACCAAAATGTAAAAAGTTCTGTGCGCCTCAGAAGTGCTTGCAGGCATATTTTTGTGTTTATGCTAAGCTAATTGCCTCCTGGCTTCAGTTCAACACGACACACGAGACTCGCATCGATCGTCTTATCTTCTTAAGCAAATAATTCCCTGAATATTGAACCAAGCTGCACATTAAACTGTTCCTTCCTCCTTGTGTTTCTGCAGATGCAGATACTCGACAAGTTCCCGATCGAGGGAGGGCAGAAAGACCCGAAGAAGAGGATCATCCCCTTTCTCCCAGGTAATAGCCCGCTCCCGAGCTCCAGTTATCCGAACAGGCTCCCACATTAATAATGTATGACCGGCCCTCGCGGGGCGTCAATATGAGCCGGTTACTGATGCCTGCTGCGCTGCTGCATGTGTGTGTGTGTGTGTGTGTGTGNTGTGTGTGTGTGTGTGTGTGTGTGTGTGTGTGTGTGTGTGTGTGTGTGTGTGTGTGTGTGCAGTGTGTGTTACTGCTGACCAGGCACTAAGTGTGACTTTCAGATCTCAGCTGCACGTCTGCCAGATGTTTATTTTCTGCCCGTTTCAGATGTGACTCAGCTGATGGTTTTGCATGAATCTGCTCATTTGATTACGTGTGCCGGCATCGATCCGAGACCTCGCTCGTGTCTCCTGACGTTCAGATTCATGGCGACCTGCAGGACAGGCGTGATCGATGGCGGTCGCTCCGCTCATCACGCTGCAGTCTTCTGCGTGAGCACCTGCGTAGATTAACGTGTGCGGAGGGACTCGTGTGTTTGCAGCAGTTTACGGCGTTGAACGCTCAGATTAAGGCCCGAGGTCGACACGCGGTCGCAGCATCACCTGGGTCGGTCCATGGCAGCTCACCTCAGGCCTCCCAGGTGAGGTCATGCAGCTTAACGCCTTTAATTTTCAATATGTTGTCAATGGATATGAAGACATTCCCTTCAAAACAATCCAACCTGAAAACAAATGCTGTTAAAATGCAGCACCATATGACAAAACGAAGCTGTTTCCACCCACAACAATTACTGTAATTATTTTAATTCCTTTAAAAAAATAAATAAAATAAAAAAAAATCAACATAAGCTATTGGCATGATTACAAATTCCAGTTTTTCTAGCGGTTTCGGAAATATTTTGCCAAATCCTGTGAAAAATGAGGCTTTAAAAGAATTAAAAATTTACCACTCAGGTCCTCTTTTCACAAATTCAGAACTCAAAAAGTATTTGGAGGAGAGTTGTGGGATTTTCCAGGATTCTGCGGTTTAGGTAGAAGTATTTACAGGATTGCAGGACTGAGGTGAGTTTGCATGGAGCGACCCATCTGTAGATGCTCGTTTTCTGCCCTCGCGCCTCCTCTGAATCACATTTACACACTTTTTCTGGCAGCAGTGGCTCCAGATGCAAACATGCTGATGCTGTGTGCACGTTTTAACTGTTCAACCTGAAACTGGAGGATGACAAATGTTCAGCTCGAGGGAAACACAACACGGCTTATTGTGAATAGCAAAAAAAAATCCTGCAAATAACTGAAAATATGTTTTTAAAAACGTGTAATATTGTAATGTTGAAAAAGTAGAGCAAGAAAACTGAAAAAACAACATCAGAGATCTGTGAAAAAATGAGATTATTAGCGAATTAAAATGCAGTAAAACGGCAATTTTACAGTCACGCACTGTAAAAGAATAGACGACGTTATGTTTCTTCTGATTTACATGATTTTCTGATGTGGAAAAGCTTGTTTTCTTTTTATAGTCAACATGTAAATAAATACTTAAGGAAAATTTGCCACACAGACATAAAGAAACACCAACTCCGTCGTCTTCGTGTTTGGTCCTCGGTGTGAAAGCTGAAAACAAAACAAAAGAAGAAGAAAGAAAAATCCCTTACAAATTATATATTTTGAAAGCAAACTGACTAATAGTGTTTGAATTCAAACTCTATGGAGCTACAGGATGGACGTATTTCACTTTGACAGCTCATTTAATATTAAATCTCGCTGCTGAAATTTAACATGAAAATTTCTAATGAAAAGTTTAATTTTAACATTTTGAAATAGCAAAAAACTTCAAATTGGTTTTAGGATTTTGACAAAAGATTCACATGAATGAAGCAAACTTTTGATATTAGAACTATTAGATAACATGACACTGATGTCGTCTTGTAGTTTTATTCAATTCAAGCTGATTGAAACCTTCAGAAAAACAGATTTGTTGCTGTTAATTAAAAAAAGAAAAAAAGAACATATTTATGGGCTTTGTTTTAAAACCAAAAATTTTAAATAGAAGGTCAGATTTCAAAATCAATAAGTGAAAAACCAATCTAGATAGATAGATAGATAGATAGATAGATAGATAGATAGATAACTTAACCTAACCTAACTGGTGCTGATTTATATTTGGTTTTTAATTCTAAGAGAGAGAAAAAACTAAACAACATGACTTCAGCTTTTCAGTTTTTACTGTCCAAGGAATTTCCATAAACCAAAACGTATCAAGTTTTATATTTTATTCTTTTTAATTTTCTGATTCTGACGCCAGAAACAGTTTTTCAGTGAGTTTCTCTTAAAACAAAGAAAATAAATATGTTCTTATTTAGTTTCTTTCTTTCTGAATCCAGCCTACGTGGTGAAACTCGGCCCTTCCAGGCTGTTTGTTGTTCAGCTGCCGGGTTTTGTTGTTTAACAGCAGAACTGTTGACACTTTTGCCAATTCCTGCATCTGCTTCGTGTGATTTACGCGGTGAAGATCCATCACCACATCACTCAGCTCTATTGCCAATGTCGGCTTCTTTACTAAATTAAAAATATGGATATTCCTTATAGCAACATGGGGCTAATATGCTAACAGCTCCTCAACCAGCACCAGAAATCTTTCCTCTGCAGAAACAGGATGTGTTGCAGCGGCTGGTCCGTATAGAACATAAATGTCGGTCATGAGTGGGCCGAGGTCTCGAATGCGTGACCCCGGTGTGTATAAATCCTGGGAGTTGTTTAGAAAAGTGGAGCTATAGAGGGGCCAGCTGGGGCCTGGGAGCCATGAGGGACCGTCACTGACACCTGCTGCCGGTTCGCAGTAAAACACCCAGAAATCACTGCTCTGCTACATCAGCTGCTGTATTTTTAGCCAGCGCATGCATCAAGTATTTACTCCGTTTTCCCTTCGCCTCCATTTTTTCATTTATTGTTTTTCTTCTTCTTCTCCCTCTTCCAGGCAAAATCCTGTTCCGGAGGAGTCATGTGCGAGACGTGGCCATGAAGCGGCTGCGTTTCATCGACGACTACTGCAGGGTAAAGAGCTGCCAGCATCCCTCCCCTCCCCGAGTCCGGCTCTGGGGAGACGCTCAGGGGTCGGAGGGGTCGCCGTCCATACGGTCTTTTCACACGCTTTTAAAAGTTCTGTAATTCCAGTTGTGCATCGCTCTCCTCCGTCTTGTTTCAAAGGCAGCAGCGACCCCCTTCTTCCCTCCTTTTTTTGGGAGAGAAACTTCAAATTAGCGCCTGCTTCCCACAAACAAAACAACACTTGAAAGCTCCTTATATGCTCCAGTTCAAGGCCGACTCGCCTTATCACCTCCCGCTCCCATTAGTTTCTTTTAATTCATCCCCGGATTCAGATCCTTTCCTCCCTCTTCCTTCCTTGCTTCCTCCCTCCCTTCCTTCCTCTTGGCGCTCGGCCACCATTACACCAGATTCGTCTCTGTGCACACAATTAGGGAGCAGCATTATCGGGCCGCATTAGGAAGGGTTACCGCCGGTATCAGCTCCGTAATTGGGACCAAAAAAAAAAAGAGAAGCGTCTGAAATGAGCCGGCGCAGGTTTATGGAAACACAGTCGCAGCTGGAGGAGAGTGTTTGCTTCCTACATCCTGTTTATGAGGCGAACGGCGGCGAGGACGAGTAATTACCCGGCGCTCTCTGAGGATCTGCTCTCCGGGGGTTTAGGGATGCGGGTCCTATATCAATAAAATAGGGTCCGATGAATGAAATATGAAGGCGGCTCGGACTGTATGTTGTCGCGCATCCTCACGGTCGAGCACCCCGACGCGATGCCTTTAGTCAGATCATCAAATAAACATGCGTAGAGCCTCTCTGCTGAGGCTTCGTCTGTGAACGTACAGACGGAGAGCAGCTCCACAGACGAAGCCCCAAGTCTGTACAATCCACATTAATTACAGTTAAAGCTCAGCCGTAAAACAAATCCCTCCAAAACGAACGCTTGTTTTAAAGCTGCAGTAATATTTTTTGTTTTTGCAGTTTGTGTGCAGTGAAGCAAACAGCTCATTGTAGACTAAATGATGAAATAGCATAAAAAATAGTGTTTTTAGCTGATTAAAATACAATAAAACTGTCATTTTACAGTCACACATTTGTGATAAAACAATTTTTAAATGGACATTATGTGCTTTATTTTGCCTGCTTGTTTGTTACACCTAAATTCATATTTTTTTTCTGTGATTTTACTGGATTTTATCTGTAATTTACCCATTTTTCAATTCTTAATCTGCATTATTTTTGTTTTGATAAATGACAAATATCTGTAAAATTATTATTTAAAAAAAAAAGCTGATTTAAAAACAGTAAAAATAGTGTAATTTTACAGTCAAACGCTGTAAAACAACAAGTTTTTATTAATAAAAGTGCAGATTTGGCTGTTTTTTTATGGTTTAAATGTAAATGAATGCTTTGTTCCTGTGATTTAGCCAGTTCTTATCTGTTATTTTAACAAAACTGACTGAACTGTTTTAAAAATTACACTTAAAAACTATTTATTTCTTTACAGTGTTCAGAGGTTTGCTGATGAGTTCAGACATCAGAGTTTAGATGTTCCGTATACACAGATCAGCCACAACATTAAAACCACCGACAGGCGAACACTGATGATCTCGTAACGTTCTGGTGGAATATCGGAGGCGGCAGGTGGACGGTCCGCTCTTGAAGTCGATGCTGAAAGCAGAAAAAACGTGCAGCGTGAAGATCTGAGAGACTTTAACGAACTGTGATGGCGGACGACTGGATCAGAACCAACAGGTGTTGTCGGGTGTTATTAGAAGTGTTCCAACCGGGGACGGATACATGGACGCACAAGGAGAACTGAACCCTGACCTCCAGAGCTGGACCGTGGAGCAACGAAAGAAGGTGTTCTGACGGATCACGGTGTTGTTTATCTGCTGAATAGACGGCAGCAGGATTGAAAGAAGGCGATCCGATGCTCTGGATGACAAAAGCCTCGAGTCCTGCATTCATGTGGATTTGACACCTAAACATTCCTGCAGAGCTCCTTCATGGCGGTTTTATTCCCCGACGGCCTCTTGTGGAAGGATAAAGCTTTGTACAGGAACGCTTTGAGAGTCCAAGGTGTCGACTCGGCCTTAGAATTCCTCAGATGGAAAACCCCTGATGTATTGACGTGTGGAGTCCAGTGTTTGACCAATCAGGGCTGTTTTTGCAGTACAAGGAACTACACCTATTGGACCGGTGGTTTTAATGTTGTGGCAGGTTGTGTATAACTCTGTGTAGGTCTCCACCAGTGTTTCTGAACCCTTACCTGCTGTTTCAGGTCAGATTCGACCCTTTTTGACATTTGATAGCAGTATAAACACCCTAAACATCCTTCTTTTAGCCTGAAGTTTGATGACTTTTCCTAGAGGGACCCAAAATACATGAACATTTTTGTACTCTGAGGCTGTTTGGGGTCAAATTTGACCCATATATCCATTGAGATGGACTTTAGATCCACCAGTGTGGCTCAAATCAAGGGAAAAAATGGTGGTTTCAGGGAATCTAGAAACCATGAAACTGTCCAGGCCATGTTTTATGAGTATTTTCTATTTACATTTATTAATCTGACATCGGCTATAGACATTCTCAATAGACCTGTAGTTTGAAATTCGGTGTAGATGCTTACTATGAGTCCAAATTAACCCGATCCACACCGTGAAAGCATGCAATCTGGGGTTAAACATATCTGTGTCTTAGCTTTGTCTTGCTGTTTGCTGCTGCATCCAGAAACCAAAAATCAAAACAAAAAAACAGCCGCATCAGACACTTTCAAAGCCTCCAACGGGAGCTGCAATTGCCCACAATCACCCGATCCATTTTTAACATGAAACACATTGATTAATGCAGCTTTTAACAACAATAAAACATGTTTGCTAATCTGAACCACAGGCTGGTTTCTCTCTAATCACTCTCCATGTCTTTCCGTAGGCCCTGGTGAGACTCCCGCCTCAGATTTCTCAGAGCGAGGAGGTCCTTCGCTTCTTCGAGACGAAAGCCGAAGACGTCAACCCTCCAGTGGAGTGAGTGTTGCGCACTTTACACACAGATGCTCCACGCGTGGACTAATCCGCCGCTTGATTTGTGTTGTGCTCTGCAGCAACGCCGTCATTACCGTGGCGGCAGGTTCGCTGACAGCGAGCGCGTGGGCGGTTGGAAATTGTCTCCCCAACCGATCATTAGCAGCGACTGGATGTGGGTGCGACTCGCAGCGAAAACACGAAGTCTGAAATTGGTTCTGGATTCAGTTTTGGGAGGAAAAATAGCATCAATATCCACCGTGTAGCTCATGAAGGAGACATGTCCCAATCTTCCTCTCACAAATGAAACGTTTAATTTCAGTAATCTGTTGGGGGGTTTACGGTTACAACACACTGCAGCTTGTTCTGCTCTGACATGGAGCTTACATGACTAATTTTAAGCTCGTGTTTGCTGACGGTGCATATTTCTGACATTACCGAGTCTGTTCCTCGACTGTTTGACTGTTTTTTTCCACTTTTGCACGATGTTTGTGGAAATTCTGTGTCACTGTTTCTGCTACAGCCGCTGAAAGACACTTTACAGAGGCAATATGTGAGGTTTTGGACACAAATACGACATCGATACAGCAGCAAACAATGCTACGTGAAGATTTGGTGAAGCAATGACGTTCTTAGGACAGACTGAAGTTACACCATCACAGCTTCTTTGTTCTGTGTTTTAGTGCATGTGGGTTCCTCCCATTGAAACTGTTAAACAGGCATTTTACAAAGCTAGCGAGGGCTAGCGGCTGTGTCTGGATTAGCTCTTGCTAGCTCTTGATCTTTTGGAGTGAGGGAACAGGTGTGGCCGACGTCAGGGATGTCATATATCAAAATCACGACATTGTTTTACTGAATCTGCACAAGTCTATGTCTTTGTTTACATCCACTATTATCATAACGGTACAGGACGAGGTGTGGCAGGCAGGGTGCCTCGCATTAAAAGAATAAATGCATTAGCTCTGGCTGGAGGTCATTCAGCTTTACAGAAGTCTTTGTCATGGTGCCCGTTGCTGCTAAACTCCCACAATGCTCTCCGCTTGCCAACATGAACTGACCTGTAGTCTGAGTGACGCCTCCTCTGGTCACTGCAGGAAGAAGCTTGGAATGCTAATTGTGAAGCTTTCTAAATCAATAGTCAGCAGCATTATCGATCAAGAATGGATTCGTTGGTAACACAGATTAAACAAAGCACACGTTTCTCCTGCTGCTGTTTTTATTATGTAATCTGATCTGACTTGCGCAGCTGTGATGTAGAAACTCTGACTTAGTTAATCTCAGCTTGTTTTAGCCTCAAGTTCTGGCTGCACATCATTACATGACACAGAAGTCTTGTCGAGGTGCCCGTTGCTAGCTAAACGCCCACAGTGCTCTACGCTTGCCATCATGATGACGCCTCCTCTGGTCTCTACAGTATTAATTAGTACGAGGCTCCACCTGGTGGAACAACCGGGTACTACAGCTGATCTACAATATATTTACTGACATGCATGTAGAGAAAACAGGTTTTCTCCAGCTTGTGGAGCTTGTGGAGCCACATTACATCCTACCCTCTAGCACTACGTTTCAGACAGTGTCCTACTGGAGCTTTAGAAGGTTTGCAACCATTATTGGAACGTTAAGCAACAGCCTGGATGCAAAAATGCATTTTTATTTATTTATTTTTAGAGCTATTCAGTTGTCAAGCATATACGGCAGATTGATTTTAATAACTTTAATCTAGTTGAAGTGTGTATTATCTGGGAATACACTCTTGGATTAAATTGGGTGCAAACTTCGACAGCTCTACTTTATGGGGATTTAAACTGGGAGGATCTGGTATTCTTTCCCTACGTGGCTGTTTTTATTGCCCAGGTTTACAAGTGAGATGCCACCGCAGCACTGGCAGCTCGTTTACTTTGGCCTCCAACCTGGATTAGTCCGTGCAGACGCTCACATGCATGCAGACGGTGTGTAAACTTGTTGCTGCTAATTACGTTACGCAACGTGATGCTAACGGCGAGCTAAACCGGAGAGTGATAATGTTGCACAGATGTTGGCGGCTCTCTGCGTCGTCTTCTGCATCTTTCCAACCCAACAAAAAAAAAACTAAAAAATGCTGCATGATTGTACAGTGGCTAAGCTCATTACCTCTCTGTCTGTTCCCACTTCTATTCCCAAATCAGCTCTTTCTCACTGCTAAAGCCTCCTGCCAGGCCGGGCGGTGGGGAGAGAGGAGTTGATGGATGCGAGATTGGGAGGAGGAGAACGACTTGTTTCATAGCAGGGAGATAGCCCCTTTGGGTAGTTTTTAATTAGAGAACACTCTCCTCTCCAAACCTCAAATGCCAGTATCGCACTATTCATTTGTAATGTGCTCCTGTATGCAGAGAGACAGCTGCACCCGAGGCGCTGCAGCTACATCCAGGCTATGTCTTTTCTTGCTTTCTTTTTTTTTTTTTTTCCTTTTTTGTATTTTAATTACTTTTCTCAGTATTTCGCTTCTCCTCCTCTCTTAGTGACCTCTGTCTGCAGAGTTTTCCAGCTACAGAGCATCCCCTCCTCCCTTTTCTTCTTCTTCTTCTTCTTCTTCTTCTTCTTCCTCCTCCTCCTCCTCTAATTCTTTGCTTCTAACTCGCCCTCATGAATTCAAGTACGTTTAATTGACGAGACAGCTCAAGGTTACGAACACAGCCGCCAACGCAATCGTTCTTTGATCAACAGCTTTCGTTCCCTCGCCGTCCGCACAGCTTCCCGTGTTACCTGCCTTCTCATCTCTCTTTTTTTTCTTTCCACTTGTCTTTCTTTGACTCATGCCCTTCATCTTCTTCACTTTCAATCCATTTTTTTTCTCTACAACATCTCTCTCTCCCTCTACTCTCTTTCTCGCCAGAGTATTTCGGTGCATAAAGAAATCGCATTAATCTGACTGTGGGGAGATGAAGCCATACATGTGGAGCATCAATAATGTGCGTAAACGCTGCCCTCGTCGCACACAGTCTGTTAACCTCCATCTGTGGCGCTCAGCGGTGCCCAGGCTCACTTTAAATACTTAATTTACATCCGCTCAAATTAAACGGATGCCTACGCGGGAGCCGTGCTGCACGGAGGGTTCGCTGTGGACAAACGCAGCAGGACACGGCGAGTTAATAACGATCAAAGACTCACGTAGCGGAAGAAAACCAGAGGCACAAAGATCGATCCTTGAGGAACTCCACAACTCACAGGAGCAGCAACAAAACCATTTGTGCAAATTTTACTCCACAAGTTACGACCTTTTCTGTAGATTTCAGGTAGGAAATATAACTTTGAAATGGGTTTTTAGTTGTAGAGTTTAGCAGAAAAAGGTGGAAAAATACGTATTCCATATGTTTTTGTTCCAGAGGTGGACGGAATATTGAATAGATGGTAGATATATAGACAAAGAAGAGATGCAAGAGAGTTAATCCAAACACTTCAGAGAGCAAAACGTAGAATTTTCAGGGAAAAAAAGGCAATAAAATCGTGGGATAGACTTTTTTTTAGGGGCTATTATTGTGTCAGGATTAGTTACCCTGTAGCAGCATAGAAAAAACTCTGTAGTTAACGTTTGCATGAATGAATTTTCACCCAAAAGATGAACTTTACCAAGTACAAGAAAAAACACAAGCCAAGAAAAAATGACTAAAAAGAAAGTAAGCTCAAAACAAAAAACATAGCAACTGGAAATATAACAAATTAAGTATTATTTATGTGTAATAAATGAATAATATCCGGTTCAGTTAATGGTTCGTTCGAGGACAGCTTCAAAACAAATGTTTATTCTCCCACAACAAATAAATAAATAGGGCAAGAGTTTGCATCTGTCTTTCTGGATTATGACGACCTGTAATGAAATCATACGTTGAGTTGGATGAATTTTAGTGATATTTTAAATGACCAGTCATCATTAGCAGCATAACTGAAGTCAAGGTTTAGAAGAGTTCAGCTAATTTGATTCATTTACTCCAACTTGAAATGAATTAACACAGAAAAACACCAACTTATCCACATTGTTGTGTCAACTCAACTCTTTAAGCAACTTTAAATGTTTGTCGGCATCAGTAAATTAGACTTTTTAAATCATGCAACCATGCGTTTAATGAAGTGGTTTGACTGTAGAGGACACAGGAGTGTACAGTCCTGTGTTTGGCCACCAGCCTCCACGATGAGCTTTATCAGCTGAATGCTGCACAAAAAGCTCGTCACATGTGAGTCTTTATGCCTGCACAAGCAAACGATAAAAGCAAGTGACCAAAAGGAATATTTGAATATTTGTCCTGCAGCGATGTGCAGAATGTTTTTAAGCAGACATCAGTGTGAGTAAATCTCTCCGCCTGACCGCAAAGAAAACATCGACCGTCACTGACGTGCACTCAGAAAACAGAAAAGGGCAAAAAAACAAAAAATTGCAACCTTTATTAAATAATATTTGGTGTTTGCAAAAATAAGCTAGTAAAAAAGAAAAGCCTTCAGATAATTTATGTGGAACAATCTCACAGAAACATTGGTTTCAAACTCTTTAATCTGATAAAAGGTTTGTTTAATAATATTTCACGTTTTCTCCAAATAACTTTATTTAAAATGTGAGCAGCCAAATGAGTCCTTGTGCTCCATAAACATTTAAGACATCTACATCTGTTTTAATTTTGCTCAGTCGAGCCGCCCAGCTGCAGCTTTCTTTACTCTAAAAACGTTCTGGTAACGTTTTCAGCAGGAAGTTTCTTCTTCAAGGTTGATTCTCTGAAGATGCTGTAAATACGTTTGGCGACAACAGTCCTGAATGTTGCATTGAGAACATCTTTCTTCCGTTACCGTGGAACGTTGTGGAAACGTTTAACCATGTGTTGCATCAACAACATCAATTTAAACATCCTCAGATTATCGCAGGCACCGTTTTTGTGTATCGCACTGCAAGAACATTTTGTAAAAATCGTCTGAAACCTTGATAACGTCTTGGAAACGCTTTTAAAAATACTCTGATAACGTTCTCCAAAGATCCTCTG